GGCTCTGTCCCAGCCCCATTGCCTCCCTCACCACAGGGACCTCGATCTGCACCCCTCCCCTTCCCCCACACCAGACTTACCAGCCTGATGCTGATCTCCATGCCGCCAGGCTGCACTCCTGGCCGTGTGCATGTTGTGGCTGCGCATGTGCAAAAGGCATTTATTGGCTGCATTATTGGCCACATCAGGCAAAAAAAAGCCAATTTCCGATGCTTTCATTTTTCCCTATATCAGTGCTATCCAACGTGGGAGTGATGCATCAGTGCATCTCTATCTGGGATGGTATTTGGAAAGCAAGAATTCTAAGAAGCCTGTTCTAGGTTACCAACCATAGGGTTTGTTAGAATTGCCATAGCAAATAGGGCTAACTTAGCACTTAAATATATTAAAACAGGGGTAGGCAACCTTTTTTGGCTGTGGGCTAGAATGACCCACGCTGAGTCGCTAGTGGGCAGGCGGGTGCTAGGACCTGGTCTCCACTGCTGCTTGTCTCTGTTATGGCATGGGGGAGAATGCCTGTATGTCAAAGCCCCACATCTGAGAGCCAGATCCAGTGGTTCCATGGGCTGGATTTGATCTGAAAGCCATAGGTTGATTGCCTCTGTATTAAATAGTGGAATTTCAAGTTGAGGATAGGCTGAAGTAGTATTTACTCCTGATTTAATGAGATCAGTATTATACTTGTGTCTAATTCTAGTGGCCACATTAAAAAAAAAAAAAAAGAATATTTTAAAGTTGGACACCGCACAGAGGAGGTGAAAGGCCTGGTTGCATTAGCTAGTTATCAGATAACTATACTATTCATGGTTGTGAAAAGGCAAATGTATAAGGAGGAGGTATTTATAGGAGAAATAAGAAAATCCTAATGCCATTGTAAAAGGAAGTTCTGTGTCTAGGTCTGGTCACCCATGTTCAGGAGAGGTGAATTCAGATTATAACAAGTACAGAAAGTAGCTGGTAGGATGATGATGGGAATGAAGAGAGCTGTGTTATGAAAGGAGATGAAAAGGGTAAAGTTTTGTGCATAGCAAATGAAAAGTGAGAGGGGATAAGATTGCACTTTATAAATACATAATTCAGGTAAATATCAGGGAGGAAAATTTGCTATTTAAAGGACAATATTGCCACAGGAACAAATGGGTATAAACTGGCCATAAATAAAAATTAGACTGGAGATTAAAATAAGGTTTCTCTCCATTAGAGGAATGAGGTTCTGGAACAGCCTCCCATTAGCAGTAGTGGGGGCAATTAAAAACTGAACAGTTTTAAGACAGCACTTGATAGGTTTATGAACAGGATTACATGATGTGGTTGCCCGCAGTAGCAGTGGAGTCAACTGAGTGACTTGGGAAGGTCCTTTACAGTCCTATACAAAAGTGACTTGAGACTAAAAGGTTTCAGGTAGCTTAATATTTATGAGGCAAGAAGTGACTTGATCACAAGTCAGAATTCTATCTACAGAGAGGGAAGGTATCCAATACCAGCGATCTCTTTACTCTTGTAGACAAAGCCATAATAAAATCCAATGGCTTGCATCTGAATTCAGCAAAATTAAAATTGGAAATAAGAGGTGTTTTTAACAATTAAAATAATTAAACATTAGCACTAACTATCAAGGAATGTGGTAAATACTCCATCACTTGGAGTCTTTCTACCAAGATTGGCTGCCTTTCTCAAATATATGCTTTAATTCAATCACAGATTTATGGAACTATATGCAGGAATCACTGAATGGAATTCTGGGGTCTTTGTTATGTAGAAGGTTGGACTAGCATCTCTTAATGATTCTTTCTGGCCTTCATATCTATGAATCAATAAAAATATTAATGCTGCAACAGCGATGCAGATTATCTTGTTAGCACTTCATGTTGTACTTAGACCCAGAACAGCGCAGTGCTAGAGTAGCTAATAGAAATGCTTGGCATGTTACATAAGGAAGCTGTTCATAATGCATATTTAGCTCTTTGGGATTTTGTGTCCAAAACCGTAACCACTAGTGCCAGTCCAAAATTAATAGATTAGGGTAATGTCTTAAAAATATCTATTATTGATGCCAGGTGCTAATACATGTATGATATCGAACACTGCCAAAGAATTCAGAAGCATAAATATTTTCTTAACCTCTTTTGTAACTCTAATGATAACCTCTGGTTGGTTTGGTCAGTATAATTATCCTTCTGTGCTGAAAGTTAGCATTAAAAGATTAATGGCCTTACCTTATTCCTATTTCATTTGTAATAAATCCATTGACATGTACCCTATTTTATATCTTATTGATGTTACAATATACCATTCACAAAGCAGCAGTCCTGCATGCCAAGGTCTTTGGATAGCTTATTTACTTGCAGATGTGTTTATTGTCAAAACAAAGCCTTTTCAATATGGCAATAAATTATGGGCCTGATTTTTAAATATGTAAAGCATTAGGGATGCACCGATAAAGATTTTTTGGGCTGATAACCAATGGCTAATTATTAATGAGCCATATTGGCCAATACCAGTCCGATTGCCGATATTCAGCCCAGCAGTTTGGAGAGCAGCGTCCAGCTGGTAAGTCTGTTGGGGGGG